CGCTCTCCTCAACATTCACACTTATTGTCACGGAAAACCTATCTCCTCCTAGAGTTTTGAAGCTACAACAGTGAGACATATACCGTTCGAGTTGCAAAAGAAAGATCTACAATTCATCGTAAATGTTTTTACAATTTCATTATAGTTTGGATTTTATTCCGCCAAAAGGGGGGGGTGTGGGGGGGAAAATCGAAAAATTTCCGAAAAATTTACAAAAAATGCCGCCACACCCACAAAAATGAGAATTTCAAAAAACGTTCACGATGAATTATAGATATGGTCTTTACGCATCGAATGATATGTGTTTCAATGTTGTAGCTCTAAAACCCTAGGAGGAGTAGGATTTCTACGGTACCCCTTTTTTTGGCCGTTTTCTAAGAATTTCACGTTTTATTACACTTTTTCGAAAAATTCACACGAACAAAAAAGTCTTAGATTTCTGTTTTATATATATGTACCAAATTTCAAAGTGATCTGTCTGTAAATAGCCGAGATAAATTTTAGGGTAGACGCTCCCCTTAAACTATGAATCCACATTACTTTAACGCAAATGAAATATGATGACTGGGAGGAATGAGTATTTTTGCGTAGATCATGAGGGTGTTTTAAATAATTAATGAAATGCCGGATAACCAAATCATATAATTAAAAAATTAATATAGCAAGATTTGCATTTTAAATTAGTATACCTCCCTGTTATTCTAGATAAATATATGCTTAATCGACTTTAGAACTTGAAATCACTTTTGAATATATTGATCATCCACGACTTGAAACTTGAATGTTTCAAACTTATTTTTTTAAGTTATGAATTCTTAAGTAATTTTATGTACTGGTAGAGAAAAAACAATTGCGTTCATTGTAGGATGTAGGAGCAAAACCAGATAATTGGTATTTTTATTCATACCTTCATTACAGTCATTGTAAACCATCAGAAATGTTGATATCCTATGAGGATAGAAAAAATTTATGATAATTTCGTACCAAAAAATACAAATGTTTAAGTGAAATAAGATAAAATATTTATTTTATGCTAAATACTAATATAGACAAGATAATGAATTAATTTAATTACTTTTGAATGGATGGAAGATGAATGCTATCAGAGAGCCATAACCACGCTGAAGTGAGAAGGCAGGAGAACGGAAATTTATTTTGCCTGCCTTCCTGTTCAAAGCAGTCAAAATTTAAATTTAATCAAAACATAAAGAAAACTACGTCTCAGTATGACTATTTATGAGATGGCGCCGAAATGTTCATTGGATTAGGATGAAAAAGTTATATGATAGAATTTTATTCATGAGAGTTGTTAAAATTGCGATGTTTGCCATATTTCAACCGGGTTTTAAAATTTTAATTTCTTCAAAATTTTGGCAGGTAATTTTAATTTCTTTAAAATTTTGGAGGATCACTGAAAAAAAGCGTCGCTTTTTACAGTGAACAATGTTTAATTTTTCGTGATTTAGTTATGAAACAAAAAGTGACCATTTAACGATTTTTATCTGCTGCGTTTGATACGTGTATGATCCAAAGTCAATTTAGCGATCATAGAGTGTCTCAAAATCTTAATGTATCAGCTTGCAATCTCGATTTCAAATGTAGGAAGAAAAAGCTAACATAGAAAAATTTGATTTATCGAATTTCTTGTTGGTTGGGTAAAGTGTGAAAAGAAAAGGTCCGACGGGATAAACTCTGTTAATTTATTTAAGCCAACGACCCTAAAATACAAGCGTTGGGTGAACAATTTTGTGGAAAATGAGGCTAACAAATTTTAATAAGTGAAAATAAATTGAATAAGTGAAAGCAAGTGGAGATTGGCTGAATGAATATTTTTAAAGTAAATCGTCATGTAGATGTTTATCACTGGGCATAATTCTTAAAATAAAAACAAAGGGAGGATATAATTACCTATTTACAACTGAAATTAAAGCCGATAAGATGCGTGTCTGCTAATTTTCAGTATAGTCTTAAAAACTTACAACGACAATGATATTAAAACATTTGAAATTTCTCAGCGATAATTGCTTATCTTTGAAAATTCATCAAAACTCCAGATGGAAATGAACAAAGATGAGTAGCAACCATGCTGGAATATTCTCATCTAAACGTAGATGCAAATAATAGTATTTTAAGCAAAGTAAACGCGTTGAATAACTGACATAACTCATGATCTGCGATTGCAGCTTAACAATGTTCTCTCAACCGTTCAATTAAACTACGTTAATTTCAAATGTATTCAATCGAACTACGTTCATTTTAACTATATTCAGCCAAACTACATTCATTTATTATGTATTAAACTTAACTGTAGTCATTTCAGCTGTATTAAGCAAATTTTTAATTAATTCCATAGCTGTTTAACCCCATCCCTTCTGCTTTACGGGACATAACAGGAGTTTTATTCATTTAGCCTCATGATGGCCTTAACTCTGACCTTGATGTGTGTATTTGAGGTGCAGTCTATCACTAATGCAACCTATCAAAATGTTGAATGTTTCAAGTCATAAAAATAAGTGTGAGTGAGGATATTTGCGTGAATGAGGTGCAGACCATCAGTAATAAAGAATATCAAAACATTGAAAATAGGTGAATTAGAAATATTATTATCAGAGAGATGAATTTGGCAAGTACGAACAGTTGAACATTAAAATAATATTTCATGTAAGAACACATGGAAACACTGAGATTTATATTGGACATTATCGCTACATCAAATGCCTTAATTTAAGCTTAAGATATTGCGGCAAGAGAGAAAACTCTGCCATTCTAGATTTAAAGTTACCGCGAAAACCGCGGACCATGGGCGACAAAATTCTTAGAGATAATTTACCTATGAGGAAAAGATTCATAGTAAAAATAGTCATTTGGATAATCTATCTTAAACATCTAGAGCTTTACATACATTCATTTTAGACCAGACATGGCCCTCTGTCAAACAAAAATAAAATAAAATAGTTTTCCTTTCAGCATTGTTATTTAATTATCCGAGATGACGCACAGAAGGAATATTTACTTAACTCGTAATTGTCCAATTTATCTGGTCATGCTTCAAACAATGAAGATTCAATGCCATAAAATTTGAAATTTAAATCTCAGTGTTGACTTAAAAATAATATTTCTGCGGATGGTAATATTTCTTCAATCGATGATAACCATTGTGAACTTTCTATGTAATTAAGCAGCGACTTTGATATCGCACTGTGAAGAAAATGAATCCCGTCAACAAATACGGTCTTCCAGTTCAGCGTCGTTCGAGGCTTCGTTCAAACGTTCAATTACCTGCCAATAAAAGAATGACTCGGAATAAAGACAACACATAGTTTACATTAAATGAATTCAGATTGGTATTGACTTGGTCTTCATCGATCTGTTATTTTTTTTGTGTCTCAACAGGTAGCTTAGTTAAAGAAAAAACCTTAACAGCGTGACGAGAGAGAATGATAGAACTTAGCGCTGTAAGTAATTTTCTATTTGATCGGTGTAATTATCGAACGCATAAAAAATTATCCGCTAGTCGTAACGATTTAATTTAGGCCTATGATTTGCATTTCAACTCTCATCATCGATATCTTAATCAACCTCATCTTTAATAAATGCAACAATCAGAACTCGGGCAAATCTATAAAATGGCGGAATCTATAAGAATTGTTCAGTTGTCTAACTTGCGCGAGTCTCATCAAGAGCTGAACTATATGCTGCTTTTTATAAAATAATAATTCTTTGACTTCTTCTTAAAAACAAATGCGGTAAAAATGCGAAATCCATGAAGCTATAAACAACCAAACGTGAACCCATAGACTCTAAAATAGGGTCTCCACAATGAAACTTGGTCAGTTGGAGCAATCAAATCCATTTTTTTCTTGATCAATGTAATTTTGCAAGTGTGATATATTATTATTTTTCTCTACTAATAATCTAATAACTCTACGAATAATCTAATAACTCTCTAAACACAGCCATGAAGTGGCACGTGTTTAGTGGCTCCTTATTCTTCATTGCCTTCATTGTAGCCGCTGATAATTAATGGAATGAATAAAGTATGGCAAATAATTTTAATCCAGAAAATTTGAAATATTTAAAGTCACGTTTCTCGGTATAAGAATCGATCAAATTATTGCAAAGTTTTTCCTTCTTTGGTGATGCTTGGACAACGGAAGAATATTTTATGCATGAACTTCCAACGCAGCTTAAAAATGTGGAAATTAGCAAATTTCCTTTCAAGTAAACGTTTATCATTTACGTAAATCCCGACAGAAATCAGTGCGATGAGCGCCGACTAATTTACCATCTAGATTTGTAAACTATTCCCTCCTACTATTTACAAAACTGCCTAAAAGATTCTGTATACTTATTACTACCGACCTAGCAATCAAGATTAACTACCTAATTTGCGCCTTGCATTGATTCATGTACACTTTAATGCGTGAATTTCGTCTGTGCAGGTTTAATGAATGGCAGTCACAGTGATTGATGGTGTATGTCCAGCAAGAAATTATCGCTTAGTTTTTACCTAAAAACTTCAACTGGAAGTCCCATCGAAAAAACATCGTTTCAGGACTGAAAAATTGTTCCTTTTTTATTATATAAATCCAAGTTGATTTCTTGCAGTATCCTGAAATTAACAAAAGATAAAAAACAATCATTACCAAAATTATTGATTGTTGATGATTAAGTGAAACTTCTCACATAGGTAGAGCCTCTCGAAATTTATGTTCTCAAAGCAATCAACCACATCACTTTGGTTGACATGTAAGTATTCAATTTGTTAAAGATTATTCAATAATGCAATTCTTTAAAGTTAGCAAACGCTAGAGGGGTGATGTTTGGCTATTAAGTTGTTTTATGCAGCTGCTTTTTAACCATATGCCATTCAAAAATTTAAATGAGCGGGAATTTGACCTTCAAGATCTAACACAATATAATAAACATGAAAATACAGACTCACCTCAACTCAATAAATGTAAAATTCTCAAGTTCTAAAGGCTTTCATCATTCAACCTTTTGTCTCAAACAAATTATAAATTCTACACGTGTTCGAAGCGCATACACTCGTGCATACTGTAAGTAACATTCAGACACTATGAGACACATAAATTTAAATCGAAAATTCGACAGTTTTACTACAGGTACGTAAAGTTGATTAAAATTAATTTCGACGCCTGAGAAAATTCAGAGTCTAATGGCACAACAAAGAAGCACGAGCATCAGCCAGCGTAGGAGCGGGCAACCGCGCCAGGAAGGTAGACTGTCGCTGCTTGTTGTCGCCGACTGGCCGACGGCCACTTCTGTCGCCAGAAAAATATCTTTTTGAAGTAAAAATATATTCCATGTTTAAATCTAGATTATGGCTGTTTCATGAATAATAAGAAGAAAATTTTCTAAATTTTCTAAAATCATTCTCTAGAATTAATAGAGAATGAACATCAGGGATGAAATTTTATTCTTGCATCAAAAGCTTGTTGATTTAAACAGGAATACGAGTATGACGTTGGAACTGCATTCCACAACATTAAAATAAGGCTAGCAAAATAAATTAATAACATCATGACTTGTACTCGTAATTGAAGATTTACAAACGACCTATGAATTTTAAATTACTTTGTGTACTAAATTTTTATTGGAGGAATATTCCGCGTTAAAGCAATATAAATTCACTTGCTTCTTCACTTGCCTCTTCATCTCTCTCTCGGATTTTCTACTTAAATTTGGCCTCAATGCAAATTTTCATTCTATTTCATTCAAAACGGAGACAGATGGGTTCTTGAACTCCATTATTTGTCGTGAAAATGACTAGTTTGTCTCACCTCTCTTGGTATGGAAGTAGAAGACGGGTGAAGGTTGTGACCAACCAAACTTATTCTCGACCTGAACCGTAGCCTGGTATTCGGTGGCGGCCAGGAGGGTGTCCAGAGGGTGAGCCATTGGCCTGATGCGGTCCTCAGGAATCAACTTCCCTTCCAACTGATGTGCGAATAAAGTATTATTATTCATGTTGAAACGCAGGCTGCAAAAATTTTATGTGATTATTCTTTGAATGTAGTAGAGTGAGGGAATATAATATTTCTTCCAAAATTACATGTGAACCTTTTTAAACTCTACCCTGACAAAAGCAAACATTTTAGTATTAAGATCCAAACGAGCTAACGTATGCAAAAATAAAACATCACAATCATTATCAAGGAATAATTTTCAGTGGCGTTCAACAGAATAAATACAAAAAATATTTTTGACACATCGCCCATAAAAATGATATTGCAATCTTCACCTTTTGCCCTAAGGCCCTGCCAGCCGGTCCACCACTCGTCCGATGGTTGCCCCTGACAGCAGCCGCCCTGTGCACCAACCCCTGCTGAAGCGCCAGCTTCGGGGAGTACAGAGAGTCGTGCCAGTGCCCCGGGCCGTGCAATACAGTCTCGTTTTCCTGGGTAGATAGAATAGAATAGAATAGAATAGAATAGAATAGAATAGAATAGAATAGAATAGAATAGAATAGAATAGAATAGAAAAGAATAGAATAGAATAGAAAAGAATAGAATAGAATAGAATAGAATAGAATAGAATAGAATAGAATAGAATAGAATAGAATAGAATAGAATAGAATAGAATAGAATAGAATAATAATAGAATAGAATAGAATAGAATAGAAGTGTGAGCATTGAAGAAATAGGCTCATGGCCTGTTGCCGATTCTTGAATTTTTCGTGACCTGATTCAAAAGGGATCCGGCCTTTGGAACCCGATCTTTCCATAGCTGACGATTGATTGAGATAGCTGCTGGACTTATTGCTTGGTCCGTAATTTGCTAGGCATTTTAAGACTGAACATATGCTCTGCATAGCTACGTCTAGTCTGTTCTTGAAGGTGTTCATACTCGGAGCGTCAACGATGCTATCAGGGAGGCTGTAGCACAGCAGAGAGTTTCAATAGTACATCAGGCAAGGTTTTCATTCTTTCAAGGTTCGAATATTAGAATTAATAATAACACAGCAGAAAGTTTTAATGGGGCACCTGTTGAAGATTTCGTGGGATTTGGGTTGATGTTTTCATGATTTTCCAATTCGGAGTAAAAGAATTAAGATCCATTATCAGGAAAATTAGTTTATCGCCGGGAACGTCGAATGAAAGTAAAAAAGAGCAAGCAAATATTGGTATGATGAAGTTTTTCAGCAGAAATTTATGCAGTAGAATAAATTTCCATTCAGCTATCTCTATCATGTAAAAAATTCATGTCAAAGGGACAGTCCTAGGTTTGACGTTCAAGGCAATGTGGTCAACTTTTAAATACGAAAGAGTTTAACAACGTCAGAAAGTCTGCGTTATGGTCTGGAAATCACAAGGGGAAAGTCTGTTGCTATTAACTGCTGCATAATCTCATTCAACTGCCCTTGTAATCAAAACTCGGTGCGTAATCAGGCTTTACGAGTAACCTGGGCATTCTTGCTAGCTCCTGCGCATACTAAAATAAATGGAATTAACCAAGCGAATCTTACAATGCTAGAATTTTTTTAATCGACCGTGTAAAACTGACATAAAATCGTAGGTATACTCAAGCGAAATCTTGAACGTACCCTTAATCGTCACAAAAACTTACTGAAGCAATTCCATTCAAAGTTTCGAAAAAGTTTCTCTCGTAAAATATTTAGAGCTTTTCAAAAGGATGGAGTTTCGATGCTTACTGAGGCATTGATGTGATGCTTCTAAGAATACGAGTTTTTCACCAGTGCTAAAAAGAGGCTTAATAGGCGAGCTAACAGGGCTAGCTTCACTGAGGGCAGAGGAATCCAAAGATTGATTCTAAACGTAGAATGAGTCAAAGAAAAAGGTTTTTGTTCCGCAAAATGCAGAGGGAAATTTGACATTAAATTCTAAAAGATTAGATTGCATCCGTCAAATTCCAAAGATAAAAAGCGTAGACGTTGTTTCAATTTGATGAATAAGCGGGAGATTTCAGGATGCCACAGAGAGCAGTGACTAAAATTTAAATAGTTGAGCTTTATTTCTACAATATAAAAATCGTTGTAGACGATTATTCAGACAGATTCTTAATGCAAAAACGAAAATGTCGAGAATCTTCAATTTAGGAATGCTCTGAAAAAATTACGTTTAACTCTTTATCATAACAAGAATTTATTCCGAGTTTCCTCAGTGCACAAATTTTACGCAGGCAGCGGATGGAATGTTCATATGAGGTACAGAGTGAATATTAAAAATATCCTAAAAGCTAGAATGAGGACATAATTTAGGCCTGAAGAGAAGCCTGATGCTCTGTGATGGCTTCAAGTTGGTGCCTAGCTCCCCGCCTTGGGTTTTCATTAAACTCGAGCTCTTCATTTGGCGCGCAAAAGACGAAATGAGCTGCTCTTAATTATGGGACACATGAAAAAAATCCTCCCAAAAAGCTGGTCACGGCCAAGAAAAGCCCGCAAAATTTGCTCGTTTCCGTCAAAAGAAATTAACGATAAGTGCCTAAGAAATTGACGTTGAGCGAAGCGCGAGAATGCGCTTTGTTCAAAGATGGGAACAGACAAGATCGGGGCGCTGGGAATCGATTGGCAGGTCAATTAATTAATCCGATAGAGTAAACTTGAATCAACAAAGAATTTTTCAAAATTGATAAAATAGTAACATGATGCCGGATACTGAAAGCATTTTTTACAACCGCTGAATGATGACGGAATGAAGTAATATGGTTGACGAGCTAAAGCAACGCAATTGAAATGATAAAATAAATCGATTACCCAGATAACTCTCACTTATTTCATACAAATTTCCTAAAATTTTTCAGGTAATAATAATAGTAATGGTAATCCAAACCTGGAGCACGTACAGAGTTAGCTGCAATCATTAGCATGGCAGGGAAACGTTTTAAAATTTATCAGTGGATTGATGAACAAAATTTTTTTGTGGGAATTTTTATTAATTTTTTTTGATAGTTATTAGGTTTAAACACGTAGAATGTACAAACATATTAGTATATTCAAATGAAGTTTAGTAAAAAATTAATACAGGGTGCGGCGTGGGAACTTACTCTTTTAAAAAAATCACAAAGTAAAAAGTATTAAAGATAGCGTTTTAATTCTTTCTTTTTTACAAAGAGCTACATTTAAAGTTTCGTTGGGTTTACTTACAAGTTTAATTCTTGAATATTACATCTTGTAGGTGACCTCTACCGGCCACTAGAAAAGTACACAGAGACTGCGAACGCGCGCTCCTCTCTCGACCACTGCATGGTCGCAACTGAACTGAGTGGACGAAAAACTTCATAGCCCGCGCACCATATTGCGCATGGCGCCACCTTCCTAGGACTAATGGCCGCCACGTGGCGCGCAATTCAAATAAGTAAGTTCCCGCGCCGCACCCTGTACAGCATTCGGTCTTTCTCTTAGCAGTAACTACGGAAAATATATTGTTAAGAACGATAATCAAGCCGACCCAGTGTCAAAGAAGTCACCTTGTACAAAAAGTTATTTTCTGGTGTCACCCATGCGCTTCCAGTAACTTTAGTCTACATTATTCTTCATGACGACACGCAAGAAGCGTAGCAGTAAAATATTAAATGTTATCTTGCTAAATCTAAGATACGATTCTCTCGCGGTATACTCACGATTATATTGCGATAACTGCGATACGATCTCGCTTGCTGTATATAATATACACACGTTTCTCTCGCGGAGAAACACACGGTTATCTCGTGGTAACTGCAATGCTGTTTCTCTGGCGGTATCTAATATACTTGAGGTACTTTCGCGGTGTAGTCACGGATATTTCGCGGTAACTGAGATACGGTTTTCTCGTGGTATCTAAGATACTCACGGTTTTCTCGCGGTAACTGCGAAACGGTTTTCTATCTGTATCTTAGATACTTACTGTTTATAAAATACCCTTGGTTTTCTCGTGGTATCCAAGATACTCACGGTTTTCTCGCGGTATCTCAGCCTGTACTGGAGCAGTGGGGCGGTGCTCTCAGTCTCCCAGGTGATGGTATAGGTGGTCTCCTCCCCACCAGCGGGGCTACTGGTGATGATCGGAGTGCCTGGCAAACCTGGGGAATATGGAGTCCGCGAATTAGAGTGAGAGAGAGGAATATGTAGAGTGGAATATGCAATTATTCAGAGTGAGGAATATGCAGCCCATGAGTTAGATTTCCGATAAAGTAAAAATTCATCGAAATCAATTGAATAACTCAAAGAAGAAAAAAATATACTTAAGAAATAATGTAAACGAACTGATTTACAATTCATTTATAGGATAACTGGAATAAATATAGCAATATTTGCATTAGTAATATCCGCCTTATGAAGGAACATTTTTTCATATGATATACAGAATAAAGGACCAGCTGTTGAGATTTTTTTCCAAAATTTGGAATCTATAAAAATTTTTAAATAGTTGGCCTTCAGCTAAAGCTAGGTTAGACAAATGCAAACATTTGATTGAACCGAAGCCGATGCACACTAAACTTGTTGTAAAATAACAGCTTCTAGAATTAGCCTTTGCAGTACAACAACCATACGCATTCTTATTCAGTGGTGATACATTACTGTTTACAGTCCTCAAATCAACTTTATGTTAATCTTCCGCCACAGTAATCCGGATGTTAATATGTTTCCATTGACAAAAACTTTTCTGCTTCCCACCATCACGAACCTGTTAATCTGATGCTGCTGCTGTTGGTTCCCAGACTGTTGCTGGCGTTGCATCTGTATTCACCAAAGTCCTGTTCGGAGACGTTGCGCACTGTGAGGCTGTAGCGGCGCTCTCCGTCGGTCGTCATTTGGTATTTGTCTGATGAAGGAATTTGTCCGTTGTGGGACCAGGAAACTCTGGGAGCTGGGAAGCCCAGCACGATGCAAACCAACTCAGCCGAGTCCCCCTCGCCTCCGTGCACCATTGCCTGAGGCAGCAGTTTCAGAAATCTCAAGTAAAGTCCACGGTGTTCACTACAAATATTTAACTTACTTTGGATAATAATGTTATAAATCATTGGAATTACAAATAAGGGATTTACGAAATTTTAGTACATATGATAGCTCAGGCGAATTGAATAATTTGAGTCATGACAATCTGTGGTCGTATGATGATTAACAATTGCGTATTAAAAATGTCATTGCCGCTGTCAATCTAGGGGAATTTTAGTATTTCGTTTATGTGATTAACCTGATGGAATAGGGAATTTTCATGCTCGTAATGGGCTCTGGTGACAAATATCTGTGCTTTACCTGCTTCGGCCGTATTTCTGGAGGATATTGGACAATAACTGTTGCGTAAGCTTTCGAAGGCTCGCCGATGCTGTTACTGGCGGAGCACGTGTACGTTCCTTCTATGTGGCGGTCAACTGGCCGAATGCGCAAGATGGGGCCCTGTGAAATACATTCAAGTTTATATTAGAACATGAATTTTCAAGTGACAGACAATATTAAATCAATAGTCATATGCTATGATAATATATTTACTGAAAAAGCGGAAAGCAATTGCTCGTGTACTTTATTAAAGCAAATAATGGAATACATAAACAGTAACTGGTCGCATTTTAGTTGTCCGTGGTTTAATATAAGATGAAAATCCGACGTAGATATGTTGTATATACGCTTACCCTGAAGACAGGGTTTCGTTGGCTATGTACGCGAGGGAAAAGTTAAGTGTTGTTCTATAGTAAACTTATCTTATTACGAATTATTATACACGAGAGTTACTATAGAGTACAGTCAGGCATAGGGCTACGTCTCACAGGTCGGGGTAATTCTAACAAATTGATGCATCGCAGTGGCCGTGCTAACTACCAGGGGACTGATTAAGGTGCCCAGTCCTTTTATAGACTTACTAGATTCACCCACCACTGCGGTCCTGCTCACTTGATGCTTTCTATGCTGCTCAGTGTCATGTCTAGCTTTCCATCAATCTCTTCCACGTCAAGTGAAAATTGCATCTCTATTATCGATGATCTAATCTTAGATCATCGATCGAGATGATCGATCGAGATTATAATGAGTGGTATGAGACGCCTGATCGACAACTGACAGAACTTGCATGTAAGCAGCGATTGAAGCATAGTTTAATAATTTGAGCGATGTAAATTTCTTGAAAATAGAGTTAATTCTGAAATCACTGCGGTATGAAAACATCGTTGGATTTTATCCCCCCCTGGTACGGTGAGTCATATGAAAAAAACTCTTCGAAAGCAGATTGTATGAGAATTACAGTTATCATGTATATTCTAGCAGCTTAATTTGAACCAAGTTTTCGTAAAAAGACTAAGTGTTGTTAAAAATATTATGGGAATATTGACTAGAGGGCCACCTATCAAAGCCTTAGTTGCTTTAAAAAATTATACACTAGTGACTCATCAACAATGTGGCCACAAAAATAATAGACAAATAAAAGCTGGATGTGTCAAACTTAGCGCCTTAAGAACCAACCACTGATAGGACCAAACCATCTACAGTTTGCTCCATGAAGGTGCCAGGATGTGAGGCATTAAAAAGAAACTGGGGTGTAAAATGAAGCTTTTACGAGCGTCTTGCGTCTTTCTGCAATTATCTAAGGAGATCCAAGTCAGTAATAAAATATGTTCGAGCGATAATCTTTTATAAAATATTTTCGAGCGATAATCCTGAATTTTAAATTAATAGAAATTATTTACTGATTATTGATTAAAATAAAGCAACTGTCTAGTCAAAAATGTTGTTTCGGAGTATTTGTGAGCCGATGAGCCGAGATCATCGTTCAATATGAGACGAAGAACGAAGGTCACGCCTCGTGGCCAGAGTTTGAGCTCTCATCATGGCAGATTTTGCAAGTTTACGGAGGCGTTTATGAGAGGTCTTTTCTCGGGAGCACAAAAATAATGAAAATCCAAGGCTTCAAACTCAGCCAAAGTCTTTGGGAGGATGTCAGGTTTTTCCTAAGAGACTTTTGGCTCATTTCGTGTACTTTTAACTGATAATCAAGACGAAATGAGAGCGCAATATTGATGGAAAAAGTTCCCGAGGAAATGTCAGAAAAAAATTAGGACGCCTGAGCAAATGCGATGGTAGTGGACATTCTTACTCTTGTTCTAGCGAAAAGAAAAATAAACTTTGAGCATCACACGAAATCTAAGGAAAATATTAAGCTCAATGCAGTGAAATCGAATTAAATTTTTGTGCGAGAAAAGATCTATGCCTTCAGGAGAAAAATTTGACTTATTCTATATAATCCATAAAGAATGGGTTAAAACTGTATTATAATATAATTCAAAATTTATTTGTGTGTATAAATGGGAGAAAAAACAATAAGCAAAATTATGCTTTACTTTCTTTTTATCGAAAAGAAGCGAGAAATTCACCATCCTCTAATATTGCTCCGAAAAGTGCATAGTAGAGTACATGATTTGGCAAAAACCTATACCGATAAATGCTAATATAATAAGTAATTAATTAAACAATTGTTTCACGAATTTTATTCCATTCAATACCATGAATTCACAGGCAAGAATTCCAATCTGAGTTGTCATGGCAAGACTTGCCTTGTTAGTTTCTGTTCCAGCAGGCAATGCAGCGCCCTCTTTCTGCCACACGATCTCTGGCTTAGGCTCGCCGTCTGCGGCGCACTGCAGCTCCAGCACGGAGCCCTGGTCAACTGTCCGCTCTCGGGGGCCAACTATCGAAGCCTGTGTATCGAAAAAAAATTTATATATCAAATTTACCTCATGATTTGAATAATTAAAAGAGAAAATATCGAGTTTCTATATAAATAATTCCTCTCAAGACAGGAACAATATGAGATCTATTAAAGTGAAAAAATTTCCATAAATGTAATTTCCATCATGATTTGAATAATGAAAAGAAAAAATATCCAGTTTCTATAGAAATAATTCCCCTCAAGACTGGAACAATATGAGCCCTATATAGGTGAAAATTTTTAGTTTCTACAGGTAAAGGGAAAATGTATGGTATTATGACAATGAATGTTATTATTTACAGGTTTATAGCATATTTACTAAGTGATTATATACAACGACAGTTAAACGAGCATTTAAGCTGATAAATATTGTCATCCATGCGTGAGGAAGTCGAACCATGATATTTAAGTGCTTCCACAACAATCTCATGGTATTGTAGAAGTTTTTCTTCATTTTTGATTTGTCGTCGTCATTCAGCGCGTGTCAGTTGGCAATGAAATTATGAAGTAGAGAAATTCACACTCAAATGACCTATAGCACATGAATCAATACTGTTTCATCGGCTTTGTGTGTAGAGCTCGTGTACACATGAAACAAGATATTCTTTCTACGCAACAGCGGCATCTGTCTCTTGTTCAAGCACATTAATTATTCAGTAAGAGGAGAGAAACGTCGAACGCTGCTTACATTTGATGCAGACTAAAAGTTCCATTTAAAAGACAGGCCATTGCGAGAATGTTTCATGATCATATTGCACTGCCAGACCTGTTTATGCATTGCCAGCAGTGGACTCCAAAATAGTTAAACTGTTCAAATTTTATTTTCTGATTGAAATAAATACATTTGCATCGAATTTTGGAGGATAAGTAAGTATCCGGGGGAATCCGGGGGAATTTTATATGCCATTTCGATGAGAGACAATCGAGTTCTAAATTATAATGTTCGCACAAATTTCAGATTATATATTTTCTGACGTTTTATCTGCCAATTTTTTTTTGCGTGGAATGTTTTCGTAATACCATTTAAGAGTGAAATCGGGGCAAGTTAGTTACGAGTACGAACAATGCCTGACGTTCGTCAACTTATCTACAAACATTACCAGTCGACGATCGGAAATGCGGTAGCGTCAGCCCATCGGCACTAGAAAGAATTTCCCATATTTAAAAAACTCGAATGAAACGCCAGCCCAAAGGGAAGTTCTGGATGATTAGTTTGGGCGGCGTAGTGACAAGTAAAGCCAAGCGAGGACTGGTCTGTTAATTTAAATATCGGAAATTGGAAGCGCCTTGCAGAAACGTGCATTTCGTTCAATTCACACGTGGTCTTCACGTAGTGAAAGAATAAATACCGAAGATAAATAGTAAATTTGCACAGAATTCTAGACATGAACTTTGAATTATTTTGTTCTAGTGAACGGAAAATTTAACTTCAAGAGCAAATTAAGACGGATAAAAACTGCTAAAAAATGCACAGACTAATGCGAGGAAAGTATGAAGGCCTAGAGCTTGAAGAACAAAATTAATGTTCAAGGAAATGAAGAAATTAACTTACTACTGACGACAATTCGATTCGAGAAACTTGAAATTTCAAGATTCAAACAGACGTAAAATCAAGAATCCTTTTGCATTTTTCTCATATTTTCTGATTGACTCTGACTTCATTTGGATTTCCTTTACATTTCAAAGCTCAGAACTGCTATGAAGAATTTTCCGAGCGCGTTCTTCTTTTCAGCGCGTGCCTTTATATTAGTCAAATACTCTCATGCAACTGAATGTTTTGTTTTATTTGGGTTACAGAGTAAAAAATTCTGAGTGGCTAAGCGCTTTACCGAAAGTTTATCCATTATTAATAAAAACTAATGTTTACCAGATTTGCTACTATGCAGATATTATTTAAAATTACAAATAAGTGCATTTTAGTGCGTTGAGAATACTGACAGATGAAAAATGTCTTGACATGTAGAGACAGATGAAAAATGTCTTAAAATTATTAAAAAAATTAAACTAGTAACCTTAAAGGAACGGAATAAGATCTTTCATTATAACCGCTCACGACTAAACAGACCTCAATATTTTGCATCAATGATTATTTATAGTAACTATTAAGTAAATATACTAATTGGGGTCCTCTTCAAACTTCTCAATGCAGTTTATGTATGAACTAGTGACGCGCATCATGTGTGAAACTCTGTTTAATTCTCAGATCGTTCTGTTTTAATATACACCGTTAAATAATAGAGTTTAATGCAAATTTGCAAAAGGGCATGAATACAATAATCAATTTTAGAGTGGCATTTGACAAAAGAAATCATGAAGAATTGGAAATATTCATATATTTATTGCAATTATAGATAATATTTCATTCAAATATTGAATGTAAACAAATCCTTATCTATAGGTATAACTATACTTTCATAAGAGCTTCAGTACTTTCATAAAATATACTTTCATATACTTTCATAAAAGCAAAAGCTTCAGACAAAAGAAATCATGAAGAATTGGAAATATTCATATAATTATTGCAATAATAGATAATATTTCATTCATTTATTGAATGTAAACAAATCCATATCTATAGGTATAGCTATACTTTCATAAAAGCTTCAGTCATAATCAAAGCTCACCTTGGGAGCGTACTGGACGGTGAGCTTATGCTGTAATTCCACGGGAACTTTGGTCTCAATTCGACAAATGTAGACACCAGCATCAGACCTCCTCACTGATGACAAGATATACTTGCTGCCTTTCTTCTTGAAGCGCGGAACTCTGCGCACCTGCAAACATATGTCAACAACAAACTTCAATTTACGACAAGGTGAGTGGTGCTAATTGATAAGGTTTTTATAAGGTATAAAAACAGGTATGAGGTTTTTACTAAATACATTGCGGCAATGTACGTTATAAATTTAATTAAACCGCGATGTAAAATAAATGATGAAAATTATCTCCTTGGCTTTGGTATAACGAGAGACAATATGGATATTAGTACACAGTAGTGGGATGTATGAGGTGTCACTGATTACGACTAGTAATGCTACCTGAGGAGCTGCCACGTCGAACGAAATATTACGACTTTGCATTTTGATACAAGCTACGTGTAGAATATAACCTAGAAGACTATATAGATACTGGTAGAAAATATAGATACTGGTGGAATATATATTTTATGTTTTAGTATTGAATTATTTTTCATATTTGATTATAGGTTGATTTATTTTTCATAGTGAAGTGTCTCAGAAATTCCAGCAGTACGTAGAAGACCTTAAACCGACGACATCGGCATGCAGCCAAGATCCTACGCATTCAGTCTAACATTAATCATAATACAGCTCGAAAAATACATCAAAATAATACGTCCATCGAAAATACACTGACTCATTTCAAATTTTCAAAACTGGGCGCGCAATAATATATTTGCGAAATTTTTCATGCGCCTAAACTGGAAGGTAGCGATAATAGTGGACTCTTGTTTTAAATATCTAGGAATTTTAGCGAACGCTATGTTTGCCTGAATAAAAGTATATTCTTCAGTGAGGCAAATGTTCCAAAAGCGTTTTGTTTTACTCAAAATCATGTATTCATTCTTGTAATTAATCCTTAGAATTTAGGCTGATAGGTTAAACTTTTTTGAAATAAAATTAAAAACCGCTAAAACAGATGTAGGAATTTGTGAAAAGAATTTAAGCCTACAAACAAACCCTGCCAGATCGCTTTGAGCTCGCGTCATGAATAAGTGTGTCAGTCCGCATTACGACCGAAAGGAGAAATAGATATCATTTACAGAAGTATTACGAGTCCCCAAGATTAAAACCAGCATGAACATTTAAGCGGCTTTGTACAACGCATCTGTTGTTGTGATTCCGTGTTGCAGTTCAGGCACTCGCGGAGGAACGATCAGGACATAAAATATTGGCGCGCACTTCGAAGATGAACCTCCGGCCGATGATGAATCGGCAATGATGTTAGTAGAGTTTCCAGCAACAAAATCCTTATTTAAAAACTTGGCTGATGTTCAGCGAAGGACAAATCTTACAAGAGCTTCCGTACATCACAGACGAGCATCGCCACGACCATGTGTATGGCATTCATCTCGACGCAGTAGAGCCGATCAGCTTCCACTCGCATGCACGCATTGAAGATGATGTCAGTCAGCGAGGCCATAACATTATGCATGAGATTATGCAGGACCATGTACGGCTCGAGCATATCTCGTAAGATCGGTTCCATGCAGTACACCATCAGTAAAGCCCGTGTTAAAGCATTCCTTATGCTGAGGATAGCACGCTCACTACTCCAGTCCTCGGCTGTAAAACATCTTTTAGCCACGCGCCTCGCACTCGAGGAGGCTCCGAAGCTCGTAAAGACTTCGGGTCACTATTGGCCGCCTCGCTTTCAGCCTCTCTACCAAAAGGGCTTGCCGCAGTTCCTAAGGTTTCTTTAAAGATGCAGCGCTGTTCTTTAGATATGCTGTTGAATTCAGCAGGAAATGTGAGCTAAAAACGCTGAGTTGGAAAAGATACGCTGTCTCAGACAGAGCACTAATATATTTAGTTAAATTTCATGTTAATGTTAAAGACGGTTAATAACCTTAAAACTTTTGAAAAGTTCGAAGTTTGTGAATTTAGTAGGTCACAAATTACAACGCTTCAGAATTTTGCATAGGAATTCTACGGAGACAGAAATGTTTAAAGTGTATGTAGTTTATGGTGAATTTAAATAATAGTTTTCCAATGATTAAATAAGAAGAAAATGTCATTTCCTTAAATGATTTGTTAAGGCGATGTCAGACAGCAAAAAAAGCTATAATTTTGGTCTACACATCGCTGAACGAATTAAAATTTATTCATCAGTCTTGAATTAGGGATAAAGATTCTGTTAAATCAGATGAATAGGCTGCAAAAAATCCTATTGAACGTTTCTACAGAGGTCGGTAACTGAAAATATCCATTCAACTGACCACTTGATGGTAGAGCATTGATAGAAGAGCATTCGCTGTGATGATGGCTTAGCTTTATCATGATACATTGGCTATTTTTATACATGGTGAGTGAGTGGTCAACTTACTCCGTTAAGTGGAAGTTGTCGAAACATTAAACCCGTCATAAGAATTTGGAAGCCATGGTCGAATGATGAACTTTTTCATGCGTTCAATTAATATCGATTTAGCGTTCTCACTTGTCATGCGTCAGTTCTGGCAACAGGTATCGGTAAGATGATAGAGGTCATGTATTCCTAAAATTTAAGTTTTTCGATTAGAAAAATTAGCGTCAGTCAGCTTGCTTTAAATTCCACGAGTAAAAATTTACGAAGTTAATCCTTTATCAAACGATATGAGTAAAATAAGAGGTAAGAGTAGTATCGATTTAATACTAAAACATAATTATATCTCGAATTAAATTGTTTGCAAAACTGCAAACTTAAATTTTTCGAGAAATTTTTAACACATGACACTTCACAGTAAATCAGGGTTATAAATAAACAAAGAGTTTGGGTTGAATGGGATTAAGATTTACGACCAGAGCCCAGAGAAGGAATAGCCAAGAAACTGAAGCCGCGAAATATCGAAGGGATCGTTGAGCCAAAGATCCAATACGATGGCAAGCTAACCCTCTCCTCAGGGCCTAGTAAGTGCAGCCAATCAAGGAAAAAGAAACAGAATCTGCACCGGCGAAAAGAGTTCGCTCGAGCTGGCATCGTCGAGCAAGGATTGAGTATCGGCAAGTCGAACCCTGACAAATTCCCGTATCAAAATGTCGCGAGGGAGTACGTGGGGAAAATGAGCTGAGGGTTGAGAGTGAGCAGTGAGCGGGAAGTCGCGTGGAGTGAATGACTGGATGAAAAAATTTTCTTAAAAAATTTTTTGGGATATTATTTATATATTAGCTGTGGGGAAGAGTTCGCTGATTTTGCATGACATGTGTTAGTCAGGTGCGTGAAATAAGATTATTTGGGCGAATATAATTTTGTTATTCTTAATAATAAATACAATAAGTTTGAGCGAGTGTGAGAGCCTATTGAAACTTATCTACAAGTCGGTAAAACTAAACAGCAAAAAATAGCAATAATGTTATAAATACGCCTTAATAATACTATAACAATAGGTTGCATTAATGACCATGAGTAGCAATATTAGCAATAGAATAGGTAGCAACAATATAATAACAACACCCCACAACCATAAATGAGAGCCCACACCACGAATAAAGGCCGTCGCAACACGAGCAACCTATGACAGAACGACTAGCACCCAAGACCAGAACTAGTGGTACCTGCTCTAAGAACTAGTGGCACCTTTTCCAAGAACGAGTCTCACCTCCAAGAATTAGTGGCACATTTTTGGAAAAAAGTAAGTGGCACTTCATGAACTAGTGGCACCTGTTCCGAGAAATATTTTCACTTATTCAAAAAACTATAGGGGCACTGATTCCAAGACCCAGTGGCACCTAACACCCAAATTATGCCATTCGAAGCGTCGAGCGGCCGAGTCACCCTATATCAGGGCACTTACTGGACTCTCGGCGGCGAAGTAGAGACTTTTGCCTCCTCGTCTGGGGTAACTCGATATGTGACTGAACGTCATCACATGGTCCGCTGCAAAAGTGAGAAAAAACATTCCCTGAATTTAGGGTGTAACCTTAGAACTCACGCCGTGATGGCCTACGAGGAAAAAGTGGACACGTGAAAATTTCAGAGGAAATTTCAATTTTTCCCAGGATTTCGAGGTACACTGGGAATGGATTTGTCTGAGTTTTCCCGGATTGATAGTATAAATTTGTTCATCCTTGCTTAATCAATGGTAACTCATTTAAGATCAATGAATAAACATATTTTTGCTGAGTCATCAATCATCTCATCTTTTTGTAAGTTCAGGGTTAAAAAGTGAGTGATTGTAATTGTTTATATAATAAAAACGGAAAATTTTCACTCAAACAGACATTTGAATGAGTGTATCTGGAATTAATATAAAACACAATTATTCACTGCTACTATTTAATAAAAAATTCTCTGCATAATTCCCCATTTCCAAAACTGAGTTTAATTAACCTGGACTCCATCACAGTGTAACAATATAGCTCCGAAATGCATCTCATTACGAGAAATTTTCAAGTGCAAACCAGCAATGAAAAATCTACGAGCCAAGAAAATAAACTGAATCTAAATTCATGGTCGAAAATGAACTGAATCTAAATTTTCGGTCGTCACAGCTGAAATTCCGCTTTTAGGAATCACTGAAATTTTCCTCCGTATTTTGATACGCATGCAAATGTTGGGGCAGAGGACTTCGACAAACTCATTTAGAAGACACTCTCAATAGGAGGCCTGAGAGGGTACGTTTGAGGGCACGTGAAGAGGGCACGTGAGAGGGTACGTTTGAGGACACGTGAAGAGAGCATGTGAAGAGGGCACGTGAAGAGGGCATGTACGAGGGCACGTGAGAGGGTACGTTTGAGGGCACGTGAAGAGGGCATGTGAGAGGGTGGGTTTGAGGGCACGTACGAGGGGGCACATGAGAGGGTACGTTTGAGGGCACGTGAAGAGGGCATGTGAGAGGGAACGTTTGAGGGCATGTACGAGGGCACGGGAGAGGGTACGTTTAAGGGCACACACGAGGGCTCGTGAAGAGGGTACGTCAAGAGGCACTGACATGATCATCGCTTTTGCCCTTTAATCGACGCTGGCTGAATTCTGAATTCAAATAGGATGGAATGCGATCCTGTAAATCAGAACTGTTCTAATTTAGAAAGAGCTGAAGTTGGAATGAGCTAAAGGACAAATCTGGGGATTTAATAACGGAAGTCGATGTTAGAACTAATATGTTGAAATTACTTCTAAATCGGCTTTGAAAGGTAAGAATAAACAGCAATTACGAATATTGTAATAATTTTGAATGAAATATTCATTTACATTTTTGACATTTCCTCATCGTCGACCCTAAAATTTTTGGCTATCATTTGACAATGTTAGTAAATGGAATGGAATGTTATGGAAGAGTAGTGTATTAAAATAGCATAATAAAACCAGATTATTAAATAAATCCCAGACTCCGATAAAAAATTTCAGATGAAACAAAATGTTCTCTCCTTTTTAAGTTTGTACAGCATGGATTCATATAGCGATCGCGTCAGACACGGTGGATTTAGGAGGCTATTTTGCGAGCAGCCTCAGACACATAAATCATGAAGATTAAATATTTTTGGATTTTCTTGAATAAAACGCGGCTGGTGGCTCAGACATTTGGCTGTTACCGGCATGATCATACGCCTTATTTTTATTGTCACTCTTGTTAAACATTCATCACCCTCCAGAGAGCACATTCAAGATAACAAGAACCTTTCCTCTGACAAGGATTTTCACAAATGATGCCACTACAAAAGTTCATAAAGAGCTGGAGAAGGCATTTTCGAGGGCAAATACATTAAATACAGTGCCATATTGTTGATTATTAGTTCAATAACTGCCACAAAGATGGTGCCTAAATCCATGGCATGATCATGTTCACAATACACAATTTTTCCATTCATTAATGTCGAATTAAAAAGTACCATGATGTTAGACGAGGTTTTGTAGCAGCGACTCGAAGATAAGCATGATTAGACTTATTTTTGTGCCCTCAATGATTATAAGCATTTGATAACCAAATTGAATTATTGCATCACCATTATTTCCCTAGCTCAAGAATTTTGTCACTAAAATGGAACTTGAATCCACAGGAATAAGTTTTTAAAGCATGGAATGGGAGCTTGTGCGATAGCAGGACTAAGTATTGAGGAGCGTCATAGATATGACTCAGCTTTAGTATTCATCAATAAGAAAAAGTTTGGCCATGACAGTGGAAATTGCTCCGTACGGATCGTCACAAAATGTCAGCTGCAAACATTATTGGTTCAACACTTCAGCGAGATGGTAAAAGTCGAGAAACGCGAGTGATGGTCCCAAATAATATCGGATCGAATCGCATTGACTTGATGCCTCAGGTAACTTCGAGCATCGCAAAGCTTTTCGTTGTTTAAAAATAGGCTCAACTTTTAGCTTCGTTTTGAGTCATCAAAGCACGATCTGGTGGAAGCTGTAATTGAGAAGCATTTTGATTGACTTTCATATTCTACTCAACATTGCTGCTGAATTTTTCTGAACATGCAATATTAAAGCTATAAAAATTTTCTAAAAATGTGGCTTTTCGAATGTTTGGCAAAAAAAACTGTTTCCTTTGCGCTTGATTTGCAACCTATCCAAATTTAGTTCAAATTTATTTGAACTAATAGCGTGTTTAATGTTCGCTATTAAGTTAACGTCAAATCACGCGTTTTTCATGGATGGCTGGCACAATCTTGAGCTAAATTAATTTCTTCATACATATATACAATATCGCAAAAACTCACTTTCTTCGACATCGCAAGGGAAAGTGACAGAATCCCCGATCCTGGCGACGAACTCTTGAGGTCGATCAAGGAAAGATGGCGGATCTTCGACAGCGCTGTTAACTTTTCCCTGTTCTTCATAACCTCCATCGTAGTTGTAGTAGTCGGTGTATTCGGTGCAGCGAGCTGCGGGAGGTAAAATAAGAGGCAGTCAGTAAAATACTCAGCTGTAAAGAGGTAAAATATGAGGCTGTAATATGAGGCAGTCAGTTAAATACTGTGAGCTGTGGGAGGTAAAATATGAGGCAGTAATATGAAGCAGTCAGTAAATACTCTGAGCTGTGGGAGGTAAAATAAGAGGCAGTCAGTAAATACTCTGAGCTGTGGGAGGTAAAATATGAGGCAGTCAGTAAAATACTCTGAGCTGTGGGAGGTAAAATATGAGGCAGTCAGTAAAATACTCTGAGCTGTGGGAGGTAAAATATGAGGCAGTCAGTAAAATACTCTGAGCTGTGGGAGGTAAAATAAGAGGCAGTCAGTAAAATACTCTGAGCTGTGGGTGATAAAATAAGAGGCAGTCAATAAAATACTTTGCGCTGTGGGTGGTAAAATAAGAGGCAGTCAGTAAAATACTCTGAGCTGCGGGAGGGGAAATATGAAGCAGTCAGTAAAATACTCTGAAGGGTAATGTATGATTAATAACTTTGCGTCATAAAAAGTTATTCGTGCACCCCTCTGTGAGAAATACTTTACGAGTCAGTATCCAAAGGCCCAGAGTTTCCTAAAGCGGGAAAGCAGCGTAATTCATGGGCGACATGATTAATTCTTTTGGCACTGTGCAATGGAAAATTTATTACGCGGGAGAAAATAACACACCAATGACCTAAAATTACCATGTGATAAGTTCTGTTCATGTTGAAGCCTTGATTTAAAATGAAAATCAATAATGAGTGTGTGTAGCCCACTAATAAAAAATGTACACATTAAATGTTCATGTAAAACGACGAGGAAGTGGAAGATGTAATGAAAATCGCATAGGTTATAGCTGCGTTATTCATGAATTAAATCGTGCACTACATCACGGAAGTAACCGGAAAATAAATTTTCCTAGTTTTCATCCTAAAGTAATATTATTTTGAAAGTCCGTGTTTCCACTTTTTATATGTATAATGTATATCCTCCTATCAAAAATCAAGGCTAAATTCTCGTTTTATGGTAAGTAATAAAAAAATTTGGTAGCCAAACGTCAGAGTTTCACGAGAAATTAAGAAAGGATTCCTTTGATGTGAGGGAAACTCTGGTTGCTGCACCAGATCCTGAGATGAGAGACTCTGACTCCAACTTTCCAATAAAAAGAAAGTTTCAGGACATCAAAGCGCCGAGAGAATAACCGTTCATTTAAGCAGAAGGAGAGGCCCTGTTGAGAGCTGGAAATAAGACAGTCAATCGGTGGCTGCCTGTGCAGCGGTGCTTTATACTTGCTAAAAAATACGCTTTGGTAGCAGGTTATGTGCTCGAGGATTCGAGCTTCAGATGACACTGATATTTTGTACCGGAAGATCTACTATTCATGTTGGGTAAAGTGAGGCCATGCTTAAATGATGACTGCGATTTTCGCTCGATCAAGGTTAAAAAAATAAATCAGTACTAACTGCAGTGACTGACAGAGAGCGCATTTTCTCGTCCGTCAGTGCAGTCACGGACGGACGGACGGACGGACATGGCGAGCACAATAGCGCCTTTTTTACATAAATAAGAAAATGCGCTAAAAAGATTGTCAGGGGACTCAGTTATTGATTTTGTTCATAGTTAACCAATGATAAATTATGAATTATTCATACTATGCTCAATGCGTAATTACTGACTGACGACGACTTATAAACAATTTAGAATTCCTTACTCTAACCGCAATCATGCCATTTATATACATACTTCCAATTCCAAAAGAGCATTATATCTATTGCATAGTGACTATAAGCATGCATGAGAAAGATTTGGACTTCACATCGCAGTTTATTTTTTGGTGATGTTTCTACGCCGTACTATAGTGCCGCACAAGGCAGGCATGAAGGAACTGGTATACTGTAGTTATGTCGAATACCTATATGTGATAACCGCCATTTGTGCTGATTTTAAGTATTTCTTAGTGGTAAATAAATTACATTTATTGGTGCAAACCTGGGCTAATTTTTCTGGAAACCTGCTGATAAACAGCCGGAATGCTCGATCTTGCTGCAAACGTGCTCGTCTCTCTGATCGACTTTTCTTGCTAAGAATTTCAACTTGTACGTTAAAATAAATACTTTATTGAATCGGACGAATTGAAGCACTTCTCGTCGCAGAATTCATTTCACTGAAATTGAAGATCTTAACTAAGAAATTTCTTATCGTGTGTAACATTTATTTTAATTGCGCGTTATTCAATAATGTGTTCTTGGATACATGATTGAACTTAGAACTTGCTTCTGGCTACAAATCTTCTATTAAATAAGATTCTTCTATTAAGCACTAACTTACTTCGGTGATTTACGTTCTCTTGATTATCGTGTTACGATATTTATAACGTTCATTATGAATCCGGTATGAAGGTTGGAATTGGACGCTGTTGCATCACTAATGGTCGTTAGGAGTGTTGTATTTTACGAGCGTTGCGTGCATGGCATCGTTGTCAACATCTCTAGCGCAGTAATTCATAAAGACGTTCAGTCACCCTGCCTAATTATTATCTATGTTAGAACAATAATTATAGCCTCAACTTTCACATTGACCGCATCGAGGCAGGTGCCCTAGTCACTCTCATCATCCAGATTATGGGATGCATATAATCAAACTTCCCTGATGGATGGTATTGTGCTTCAAGAACTCACTTCGGACACAGGTCCTTGATGAGGCAGGACCTGGATTACAGGCTAAAAATCCACGGTGATTTGTCAGAGTGCCAGAAGACCGACATTACAGCAACCCTAAAGAGTGAAGTCCATCGAGGAGCCTTGGTTGACCGAGGTCTTTGTACTCACAAAGCTCTTCACAAACAACGCCGTCATGAAATGAACTGGAATTATTCAAATCGAAACTTGACTGCAACCTTTATTGGCTCAACTAGCGATCGGTAGTCGGGTGCTAAATAAACTGTACATGATTTTTAATTTGGATCAGTAATTATTTTTAGTTGTTAAACTGCACCTGTCATATGCCCCTGGGACATCTGAACAAATACACAATTTAAAAAATTCTAAGGTAAAAGCGCAATATGGTAGCGTACTGAAGAAGAAAAAACATCCCTAAGCCAGGCGTGACCAGAGCTATGGAATTGGTTCGTGGTAGGCACATAAGGCATAGGCTTGGACATCGGAGTCGGAGATTACACGATGCTTTCCTGTTCACGAGCGCATCACACGTGTAATTACAGCTCTGCATGCCCAAATGTCCCCAGGGATGGACTAGTTCCATGCCAAATCCTGATGGAATTCACCGACAAAAAACAATTTAATTCTTATTCCACTTTAGCGAGGCTTGCGGTAAACACGTCAGAGATCGTTCGTCTTTGGGCCCAATATTTTTTTATATTGATAATACTTGTATAAGATATATTTTTTCTGACTTAAAGCTATAGAGATAAAATATTGCTATTTTTAACCAAATTGGTTTCGGCATTAAATCGGAAACTGAATCCACTGTGATTGGACCAGTAAGTGAAGACCTGTTAACTCTGTTGAGTGAACAATATTGTTGACGGTAATTACGGTAGCTACCAGCTATTTAAAATAATAACTTCCCACTTACCAACTCCTCAGCGCCATTAAATTTTATTCGAATTATTCGAATAAAAATGGCACTGAATAAATTTTCATCTGCATCTCAGTATTAACAAGTTGTAATAATCAAGTCGCAAACTTAACCAGGGCAAGAAAGGATTGAAAATTAAATTTTCATTTAAGCATAATCTGGTTCATGCATGGTTGAGAAATCATTACTTTCACATACGATGTTGCTTGAAATTATAAATTATAAAGTCAATTAACGGAGTAGTTGTTCAAGTAAGAGGTTATAATTAGTTCCGAGCAAATTTCGAATGAAGTTCGCTAGCACAAGCAGTTGGTCCTCCTTGAAGCTAAACTTCGGAAATGCAATTTTTCAAGCTTTTGATAGGACACGTAAATTGGAGCAGTAAAAGCTGTCAAAAAATGAAGCTTTTACAACAAATTTAAATGGGACTTTAACTTGCTTACATGCGAACTTAAATATCAGTGAGATAATTCTTTATGTAAGATAAGATAAACATTCGCAAAATTACATGCTTTGAATTATAAATTATTTATCAATATGAACGCAGACGGAAGCATTTGATTTATAGCTGCCATGATGCGTGTCGTGGACTCATCTAGAGCTTGGGAAGACAATTCCGTGTAATGAAATAATACCCTTCAAGTCGGCAATAAAACCACAAGAGTCTAATGCCTAATCACTCCTGTTGCTCTGTTAGATTAGCGAAGTTTTAAAAGGGTCTCATCCATCATTCATTCGTTCCAGAGTAGCCAAGCTGTCATAACAAAGTTTGGTAATACATCAGAAATTCTTGTCGAAAAAGAGCAGTTGTTAGCCATGATGAAATATAAGAGATATGTACATGCTGCCACACGCTGAGCTGGAATAAGGGAGCAATTACATGTCCAGGCAAAGCAAAGTTCAGAGCTGCCTTGTCATTCATGAGAACGGCCGGCAATTGCAGCGAAGTTCCATCGAAGCTGCACTGGCCAAATTACTATACTAATGCTTGTACCTCACGCTCCTCTTACTCATATGAAAACGTTCTTTTATTGATAATATTGACAGATTAAACAAGTTTTATTCATATGCGTTTTTATGCGTTTCGAGTCTAACAAGGTTATACTATAAGGAATTGTTAAATTTATCTAGTTTTATATAATGCATGAAACGTGCCATGTATGAAAAAAAAACTCACTAAAATAACGCTTTGCAAAGGTGAGACCAAATGAAAACAAAGAAGATCAAGATAATCGAAGAGTGGATCGGGATGATCGTTGTAAATCGATATGATTTTACAGCGTCAAATTGAATGGGAGAAAAAAATTTGCTACGAGATTTTTGCATCAATTTTTTACCAGAAGTTAAAAACGTTTATCTGTAAAATCAATTAGCCATGAAGCTGTCTTAAGCAAAATTTG